ACGCCCCCAGTCTCCGAGCGACGGTGCAAAGAGGGGACCAAACCACCTGCTGCCCCAGAAGCTGCGGGCTGTGAACACACAGACAACAGTGGGAAGAAGCCCCCCCAGTCGGAGGGGCAGTTCGGTTTCTGTGACGCCGGGAAGCAGCGGGGGGTGCGGGCGGGGGAAGACAAGGGAAGTGGCTGGTCCACAAAGATGGGGGGGCAGGGGCGTGGGGGGGGGGGCGGGCGGTCGGTGACCTCAGGGGCGCGTGTGTGTGTGTGTATGTGTGCGTGTGTGTGCGTGCATGTGTCCCAGTCTGGGTGCTGAGGTCAGCGGCACTGTGGTGCCCAGGACAGCCGGGCCGCCTGCAGACCCAGTGGGGGCCGCGGGGGCCCGACCCTCACGTCTCACAGGAGGTCGTGCTCCGCACAGGAGCCCGTGGCCGAGAAGAGGGGTGACACTCGGCTGGGGCTCCCGTCTGACTCTCTCCACGGTGGCCCCTGGGGCGAAGCCGCAGCGCTGGGACGGACGGCCCCTCGTTTGACGGTCTCACGTCCGTGGTCAGAAGCCGAGAGTTACCGACGCAAGCCTCCCGTCCCACGTGCTCCGGGGCCCCAAGCCTCGTCCTGTCCCCTAGGCAACCTCAGGATGCGGAGGCCACACCACGGGTTTACAGCGAGGCAGGTCGCTGGGGTCGCTGGAATCTGAGCCGGCACATTAGACGTGGCGGGGGGTGGGCGGCGTCCAGCCACCCCCTCACCTGGGCCGGGGTTGGGGGTGGCACCTGCGCAGGCTGGAGCCCAGCAGCGCCAGGCCCGGCCGGGCCCGGCCACGGGGCAGGGCAGCCACCCCGAGGCCCTTGGCTCCGCACGACCGAGACAGGTCGTGTCTCTGAAACGCCCCCGGCACTGGGCTGGTGATGGCTGTGGCGGGAACATGGACTCACAGCGTGTTCTTGCCACAGAAACGATTTATCGGGGAGGACACTGTTCTCCGGGGGGGGAGGCGCCCCCAGAGCAGCCTGCTGACCTCAGGACAGACGCGCATCGGGGTGATGGCACCGGGGAAGCGGCTGTCACCGGGCTGTGCTCTCGGTCCGTTCCCTTCAGACACTCGGGGTACGGGGGGGGGGGCTCCTTGTTGTCCGCGCCCGCCTGAGGCAGATCCACGGAGTGGGGGCCGGCTGCCCCGACACCTGGTCTGGCACGCACCGGCGGGGCCCGCGGAATGTCCTCGGGCGTCGTCCGGCCCGGCCGCGGAGCCCTGTTTGGGGGGCGGGGGTGTCCCTGACAGAGAAACCTTTGCCGACTGAACAAAACGGGGAGGCCGGGCCCGGCCCTCCTGGCACCGGGCGGGAAGAGCGACCGAGCCTGTCTCCAGGCCTCCGGGCCTTCCTCGGCTCCGTGGGGAAGCCCGAAGCCACCGCCCCGCCCCGTCCTCTGTGCCCGTCACCCCACAGTCCCCTCCAGTTGTCGTCCGCCTTCGACCTTCCACCCGGTCTCGGGCGGGGCCACACACCCCCACCCCCCCCCCACCCCGAACCTCAGCCCGCCGCCCCGCCATTGCGCTCTCCTGGGCACTCCCACCTCCCGGAGAGAGCCGCCCACCCCTGGCCACACCTGCCCGCACCCCACTCACTCGCGGGTTCCCGCGGGTGGGGTTCTCTGTCGTCTCCAGGTGGCTCCCGCGGTCAGCTGGCGGGAGTCAGGCCGGAACCGAGTCTGCTCCCCTCCCCCTCCCCCTCCCCCCCCACCTCAGTGCGGAACCTCGCATCTCCGTCCCGTGGGGCTGCCGGGCCGGCGCTCGGGCCCAAGTCAGACTCTCCGTCCCGCCGCCCACCTCCAGCTCCCGCCAAGTCCCCAGTGCACACCTGGCGCGAACCCCGACACCGGGCCACCACGCCATCGGTGACACCCAGGACACGCTCAGGGGAACCCGTGCAAACCACGGGGCCCCAGGCCGGGGTCAGAGACCCGGAGCAGGTTCGGCGTCGGGGAAGACAAACCAGAGAACCAGCGAGAGGCCGTCCCGGCGGCGAACCGTCGGTGAGTGCCCCCCGGGTGTGAACGCAGCGCGGGCCCCGCCCCGTCAGGTTCCGCTCCTCGAAAAGCACGGCTGCCACAACGCAGGGTCCGCTCAGCGTCACGGCCGGCGGCAGGGCGGCCTCCCGTCTGCCCTCGGGGCCACGAGGTCCCACCGCCCTGCTGGGGGGGCCGGGCAGCCCGCAGGGCACAGGCACGTGCTTTTAAAAGTGTCAGGACGCAGCGATTCCGTGGCTGGTGTCTTCGCCCCAAGACACTCAAAACCCTGACTCGGAAAGACGGAGGCACCCCGTGTGCGCTCACTGCGGCGTGAGGAGCGGCAGCCAAGCCGTGGACACGGCCCCAGGGCCCCCCGCGGACAGCCGGGTACAGACGGGGTGCAGGGTCACAGGGGAGCGGTCCTCGGCCGTGAGCAGGACGAGCGCTGACCGTTTCCGACGGCACAGATGGACCTGGGCGGTGTCACGCTCGGCGAGTAGGTCGGACGGACGGGGGCGAACACCGTGTGGTTTCACGTGTCGGTGGGACCCAAGGGGCAACTGCGTGAACCCACGAGAGAGAACGGACTCTCGAACGAACGCAGAGACCAGGCTGGTGGTTGGCGGGGGGAGGAGGGGCCGGGGGCTGCGTGGAGAAGGTGGAGGGAGGGAGGAGCCCAGACGGGCAGTGTTGGGCCTGAGGCACAGGGGATTCGGTCGGTGACCCTGTGTAAACGGGGTCGGTGCCGGGTGAGCACCGCGAACATCGGGGAGACCGCTGTGCCAGGTGCGCGGCTGTCTGACTCCCGGGCTGTGCACCTGTCAGCTGTGATGGGAAAAAGATGTATTGAATGTAAAAAAAAAAAAAATGTGGAGGCAATGAAGCAGCACATTAGGTTCATAAAACCGGAACAAGGACAGTTACCCCGACGGGGCCAGTAGGAATCCTGGAAGTTCAATGTGTAGCCCCTAGAATTTCTAGAAAGGAAACACCTGTGTTAGGGGTCCACGGAAGAGCCACCACAGCCGGACCCAGAGTCCGCGGGCGGGCAGAACAGCGTTCAGACTGTCCTTCCCAGCGTTCCCCGGGGACTGAGCGGGACGGAAACACCCCAAGGTGGGGGGGGTGACACCGGACCTCGCCCCCCCCGGGAGGAAGCCGGCCGCCCAGACAGCAGAGACCCCGGGCAGTGCGGCCGCGGGCAGAGCACGGCGGGCGGCGTCTGGCACCGCGGACAGCCTGGGACCCCCGCGTGGACCGTCCTCAGTGTCTGCTGGACACGGAGGGAACCCCTCGGGGCCCCCCCGGCGGACCTCGCGGGCCCGCAGCCAGGCTGGCAGGCTTCGGGGCCGGGCAGCACCATCGGTAACAGACGCCAGAGGCGTAAACATCGCACCCTCAACGTGCTCGGTGGAAAGGAACCAGATTCCACAACCAAGACTCCCAAACCAGCCTCCCTTTTTTTTTTTTCCTTAAGAAACACCAGGATCCGGGAAGTCCACACCCACAGACCCGCGCTGACAGAAACACTAAACCCAGGAGGAAGATGAAGGGAGAAAACAAAGCGGGAGACACAAAGTAGCTGCGGGTGGAAACGTCGGGGACAAGCCCGGCCACTGTGACCGACTGACTACCTAGCAGAGAAGCAGCGACCGGCTGTGCCGCGGGCGTTTCTCCTCAGCCGGACAAGAACTTCGGCCGGACAAGAATAGAAGATCCCGGTGGCAGAAGGAGGGGTGTGTGGGGGCTCGGGTTGTTGATTTACTTGAGGAGAGCAGAGAGTTATTTAAGAGACGCTTAGACTTTAACTGAATACGCGTATTAAAAATCTCTGGGTAGCTGTTAAAATACTGGAGTGTGTAACTACCGAATGAGTCCAGCCTGATAGGAAGGCACGGATAAGCTCAGTGCTTAGAAAAAGGGGAAAATGTCCACACGACATAGGATGGTAAGGAGATACCCACAGATATTACCGATCACCAGTTGGTAAGGAAGGGAGACTATTGGATTTGAAACATGGAGATACGTTTTTTAATGTAAGAAAGACCCAGAAATGATGGGTGAAGGCCTCTACTAATCAAAACAAAGGTGAGGCAGAAATGGTAACCTCGGACAGGAAAGGTTTTAGAGCAAAATTCGCTGGAAGAGACCATCGCAGGCCTGATACACAGGTTCCTAAAAGCCACTCCACGAAGAGGCACAAAGGCTGTGTGGGCATCCGACAGCAAAGCTTCAGAGTCCACGGAGCAAATACGGCTGGTGACTAGGGGATTCTGAAAAGTCCATCTCCTGCTGAGAACACTGAACTGTGTCTGTCACTCACTGATGGACAGGAAGGCACGGAGAAGATTTGCGTATAATCAATAATCATAACAGCTCCAGGTGTGTGGGACCTTGCCCGTCTCTACCAAAAAGAAAATGCACATTCTCCCAAGCATAGAAGGAATGTTTACCAAAAAACTAACAGAGAGCAAATTTCAACAGAATTTGACATTTCCAGACCTCATTCAATTACAGTGAAGAAAGTCTTACTGTAAAACTGACACTTTTTGAAAGTGAGCTACAGTGACAACCCCCCCCCCACCCTGCATTTCTTAATGATCCCGGGGTGGAAGGGTCATACGGTGAAAGTGACAACACCGTTTCCAAGTGTCGGTACATCCGTCCAAACACACTGTGATTCATCCCCTGGAAACCCGGAGTCTGGGGCCCTGGGGGCCCCCGTGGAAGCATCTCAGCGGCCTCCTGGCAGAGCCCCGGCCCCAGGTGGGCTCCTGGCCCCAGGGGACCCAAGGGCCCTGCCCTGGATTAGCAGTGGCCGCCCCGGTGGAGCCGGCAGAGCCCCAGGCGCCTGCTGGCCTGGAAGGAATGCAGCCTCCCCCTCAGTGCAGGCTGCCCCCCTCCCCCACCCCCCCCCCCCCCAGCTCCCCGGGCTTGGGATTGGCCGCCAGCCCCCGCGGCGGCAGGGCAGGGCCTGCTTATAGCCCGCAGCCGGCCGGCCCTGGTCAGTGCCCAGTTCCGTTCCCAGAGAGACTCGCTCAGCTCAGACCCCGTGCTCCCAGCCGAAGAGCCAGCCGCCAACATGTGCAAAGGCCTAGCAGCCTTGCCCCACTCCTGCCTGGAGAGGTGAGAGCCCTCATGGCTGCGGCTGCGGCTGCAGAGGGGCGTCTGTCCACCCCGGGAGGGCACCCCACTGGGCCAGGAAGCAGGGTTGGGGGAGGCTGGGTTGCGGTGGGGCAGTCGGATCCCCCCGTGTGCACCACTGCGGGGGGTTTGCAGAGCCGGGCCGGGAGGCGGAGGCGGCGGGGCACCCCCGCACCCCACGGCACCCCGAGCAGCTGCCACAGCCCAGACACCCGCTCTGGCGCCTCGGTGTTCCGGTCTGTGAAATGGAGCCCAGCCCGTGGGCTGCAGGCCGGTCGGGAGGGTCGCCGGCTGGACAGGGAACTCGGGGGACCCGTCCGGCGCCTGCGGGTCCTGCGTGAACGCCAGCGGGGAGGGAGGAAGGTGGGCCCACAGGAGGCACAGGGCGTCTCGCTGCTCGGTGCCCCTCGACCCCGCGGGGAGGAAGCAGCCGGTTGTAGGGCAGAGCAAGGCCCTGGGGCAGGAGCGGTTTGTCGGTTTGTCGGCCACCAGTTCCTCTCAGGGCAGCGGACACGCCCTGGAGGCCCAGCTCCCCTGCAGCTGGGTGCTGTTCTGGGCCGGGGCGGGCGGGGGGGGCGCCGTCCTAGGCGGGCCACGCCACGGGGACCCGGCCCGGCTGGTGAGGAGTTCACCCCGGCGACCCCAGCTGACACACGGGAGGAGGGGCTCCCTGGTGTCTCTGAGGAAGGGGTTCGGCTGAGTTTGGGCCGAGCCCTGGTTGCAGGAGGGCAAGGGGGGCCGGCCTTCATACCCTGACCCCCTCACCAGGCCCCAGCGCTGTCTCCCCACGAGGCCATGCGGTCGGTGGGCAGCCGCGGCCCCTCCTGTCCCCAGCTCAGGGCTCAGGTCTCCTCCTCCGCGGCTTCCACCCGAGAAACAGCCCCCGAAGGGTGTTCAGAGAGACGGCCCCACAGCGAAGGGGGTTGTCTGTCTCCGAGGATGCGCAGACAGGACACAAAGCCCGCCCTCGCTCCCTGCTGTCAGAAGCGAAGGCTGTTTTTAAAAAGACACAGAACAGTAGCTTGTTAGGCTGCAGTGGCTGGACTGTGACCAGGGAGCGACACTGGCCATCGGACCCACCTGGGGTGGGGGAGGCGTCCCTGCTGGGGGCTCTCGGCCTGGCCCTCACTCCCCAGAAAGCCCGAGGGCGGGAGACCCGGGCAGGCGAGCGGCGCCCAGGTGCCCCTGGAGGTGAGGCGGTGCCCGACGGTGTCCCCCCCCACCCACCCCAGGCGTGCAGCTCTGAGAACCACAATCCACACCCCACACAACTCGAACGGGCGCCTTTTGCCCTCCTGTTGCCCGAAATCTTTCCGTCCTTGCCCGTCGTGGCCGGAGCCACCTGGTTCTCTGGGAACCGGGCACCTCTGCAGTGCAGTGACACCGGCCTGTGGCTCGGCCCTGGCGGCCGGGAAACGGTCACTCGGCGCCGGTCACCCGCTCGGCGTCACTGCTGACGTTGCTTTCGTGTTGCTGCGCTGTGCACCTCGGTCCCCGAGACACACGGCGGGGACGTTCCCATCCCTGCCCCCGCCCGGCGTTTCACAGACGAGGCTCCATCACCGCTCACGGCCCCTTCTTGCACCTTCTACCGCAGCCAGTGCTCACGCCGCCGGACGCAGCTGCCGGTGACGGGCACGCCGTGCTCCCCCTGAGGGGGGGCCGTTGGCGCGCCGGGCTCCTGCACCCCTCGCTCTCCCGGCAGGCGGCAGAGCCCGCCATGGTTGTGTGCGTCCCTCGCCCCCCGTGCCCGTCATAAATGGAGCCCCTTTCCGGTCACCGCGCTGCCGCGGGGCTGCTGTGGGGACAGGCGCCGGGGAGCGGCGGGGCTGGCAGCCTGCATGAGGAACGGTCCCCCACCTCCCGTCCCCGGGTCCGCACGCCCCTCTCCCCCCCACACCCCCTCCCTGTCTTCTCTCCAGGCTGCTAAGGGGCCCCGGCGAGCCTCTGTGCTTAGGTCAAGGTGTCTAACATCCGCATAAAGTAAATTAGGACGACACGCGCATACACGCTTTGCAGGGCAACCTGTATTTCACGGCGAGCCCTGCGTCCCACACACACGCGCCGGGGAGAGCAGGCTGGGTCTGGCCGGGCTCCGGTCTGCACCCACGGGCCGCCTCCCTCGCCCTCTGGGGCTCTGTCTCCTGGGGCACGACGTGAACCCAGGGTGAATGACCCCCTGGCGTCCCCCTCCGGTCTCCCCTCACGCTCACACACAGGGAGACGCAGCGGGTGCCCGGGAGGAGCCAGAGATGCGCTGAGAGGGAACTTCCCCTGGCTGATTCCCCCTAAAAGTTGGGGAGCGGGGAAGAGTCGGCAGTGGACTCGTCGTGGCCCTGAAGCGGCCCAGCCCTGCGCCGAACGCCCAGCTGAGGCCGATTTACGGGAACGCAAATTCCGCTCGTCTGCAGAGAGCTTTAATCTTAGGAAGTATTTCCGTCTCCGCGTTCAAAGAGGCATTAACCAAGGTCCACTTTGATGTATTTATAGGAGCTGTTCTTTCTCTGTCTATTTAGATCTCCGAGACGGTTGCTGATGAAAACGCAAAGTTGACCTCGCGTGTTTTTATGTGTTTAAAGAGAACAATAATCCCGGCATCTGAGCCGGCAGCGGCCGCCCCCCGCGCCCCCCCGCCCCCCCGCCCAGGGCTCAGGCCGCCGCCACCGGAGCCTGTGGGGGGGGCGGAGCCTGTTGGGGGGGCAGCCCAGGCAGCTCGGGGACAGGGGCTGAGTCAGCTGAGGGGCCTGTCTTCGCCCGGTGACTAATCCACCTGCAATGTCAGACTTCGTCTGAAAACTCACTTTATTTCCGGAGCCTCTTGAGCTTCCCTGAGGGAGATTAATTTTTAAAGCGAACAGCGCTCTTTGGGAAAAGATGAGAGTATTCTGACATACAGAGTGTAATTATTAGGGTCCCCAAAATGCCACCCTAATAGCAGGCAGCCAGCGCGATGACAGTTGTGTTCGTCCACCTCGGGTGACGGCCCGATACCCAGTGCGCCGTCCCTGCGGACGGGGGCAGGGAGGGACGGCGGGGGCTGAGCTGCGGACAGAGTTCCTTCGCCACAGGGCGGGGATCGGGCGCCACGGACCCCTCCCCTCCCCTGCACCGCGAGGGTCTGATTCCTGCTGCTGGGAGGGGGGCGGGCGTGTGGCCACAGTCTCGCGGGCTCAGCCGTCTCTCGGGGGGCACGCCGGCGTGTTCGGGAGCTGCACATAGCGTGTGGGGACGTGGACACTCTGGTTCCGTGTTTTACTGACCGTTCCGGTCCCTCCCCCTCCCCCGTCGTCTCTGGTTTAGGTGGGTCTCACGGGGCGGTTTAGGGTGGGACGGCGCCTGGAGGCAGGGCCTCTTCCTGGGTGCCTGGGTGGGGGGTCGGCGGAGGGGGGCGTTCAGCCAGGGAGGGGCCCAGCCTCCAGGGTCTGCCGGGGTCCACGGAGCCTGCTTCCTCCCAAGCCCTGCCGGGGTCCACGGAGAGAAACGCCGAGCGAGCGCGGAGTGAGTGGGGACTGTGGCTCAGGGAGGACGGACCCGGACCGTCCGAGGAGCCGGGAGGCAGAGCTGCGGCTGAGCGTAGTAGGGTCACACCCTCCGGGAGCTCGCGGTGGGGGAACCGGGCCTCGAGACACAGCTGGCCGCAGAGGTTCCGGCGCAGCTCTGAGATGCCGAGACAGCGAGCCAGCCGTGTGACAAAACGGGGCGGTCGCTAGGAATGCCCCCGGTTCCCCCGTCGCCGATGCAGCGGCGTGGGTTGTGTCTCTGGGCCGCTCGAACCCCTGTGCTGGCCCTCGGGGGGCAGCCCGAGAGCTCGCTGGAAAATCTCACCCCCCCCCCCGCCGTTCGGAGAAACAGGGGGAAGTGCCCTGGGCGCTGGGACCCCCGGGGAGGGAGTGAAAGTGCAAGCAAGGCGGTGGGGGGGAGGTGAGGGGCGGTCCTGGGGGCTTGGGGAGCTTGTGGTCCAGAGATAGCTGTGCCTGGCAGTCACACGGGGCTCGGGACGGCTCCTGAAGGGGCCGGCGGTCGGCCGGCTGCAGACAGGAGGAGGGCGGGGGTCCCGGCTGCGGCCCCGCCTCCTCTCCAGGCCAGCGGGGGTGGGGGGGGGACACACTGAATTTCCGGCCCCGGGCCCCGCACCGCGGCAGACCCTCCAGTGCCCCTCCCCCCCACTCCTGGCGCTCTCCACTCAGGAGATTCATGCAGGGGAAAGACTGGTGTCTCCTCGGCCTAAACATTAAATTACCAAGAAGACGGACGGACTGTCCTTGGCACGCAGGGGACGCCTGACGGCCACCGAGGGCGGGAGGCCCTCGGCCGTGGGGGGGGGGGGGGGTGGTCACAGAGCCGAGCTGCCCCCTCTCACGCAGGCCGGGTCTGGCTGCGGGTTCTGGCCGGCCGCCACCCCCTCCCCCTCCTCCCTGGGTCTGGGCCGGGCCAGACTGCCAGCGTCCAGCGCAGACAGCTGCTGGGGCCCAGCGCCTGGCGTTGGGAGGACCCTGGGCGGGTGACCTGGTCTGTTTTCCCTTTGCAGCCGGGCCCGCTCCCTGTCACGGAGGGATGATGTCAGGGGACAGGGCGGGCTCCAGGGGCCAGCTCTGATGGCGTCCATCTGTCCGTCCTGCTGGCCTGGACGCAGGGACCTGGACCTTAACTCCTCGGGTCAGGATCCCGCGTCACAGGAGCCAGGATGTGGCTGGAGGCCAGAGACTCCGGGTCCCTGTCTTCCTCCTGGAAGCCCCCAATCCGCTCTCAGGCAGCAGGGGTCTGCGCGGCGCTGCAAAGGCAGAGCCCCGGCGGGCACGGAGCTCGGAACCCTGGTGGACGGTGGCTTTCCCACTGCCTCGGACGGCAGCTCCTGCAATGACACCTTTCGGGGCGCTGGAGAAACCCAGAGGGAGGAGGGCGGAGGGTCCAGCCCGCCCTCTGCCCCTGCCCCGCCCCGGGAGCAGCAGCCAGGGGGTGGGCAAGAGGGACCTCGGAGTGGG